GTAATGAACTGGTTTATTGATTTTACAGTAAATTATCCAGTTAATTTTAAAGTAAAAGTTCATATATTTACCATCCCTTTGTACTGGCCCGCGTGAATTCTTGATTATTGCTTGTAATTATTTAAATAATTGATTTTCTCTCTATTCCCATATTGAATTTTACCTACCTACCTACATACTTATATACCTATCTACCTATTTTTATCAATTTATTTGATGAGGCTCAACCGAATTAACTTTACAGAATTATCTTCCGCTATCCAATAAGCCTCCTCTACCAGAACGGGAACCGCTTCCAGTCAGTGGTTTACTTGTATGGCAGATTCGCCAACGAGGGTCAGAGCGCTTCCATTGTAGCAATGGACGCAAAACGTGGTCAGCACTCACACATTCATCACGAAACGGTTGCTCTGCAAAGTCGACGACGCATCGACTGAAAAAACTGCTGATGAAGAACAATGAGGAGGACCACACAATGGTTGCTGCCGAGTAAACAGACGATCGCATGACACACATTGAGAGTGGTCTGCTTCTGTCGACAGCCGAGTGAACACTGAACTATGGCTACCTAGAAAACAGCGCCATCTCTGGGAAAAGCCTTTATGGGAACCACCTAATTGATAACAAATCATAGGGGGCCCCTCAATAAAAAAAATAGACCAGGGCTCCCAAGAAAGATAAAGACGACCCTGGTAGAAATTGGTGGAGTTCTGCGTCAGTAGAATTAAGGAGGTTCCTATTTTGCGCACTGAAAACAAAGTCAACTCTTTGCTGAAAGTTGAACGGGAATGTCAAACAATGATACCAGAATACTGGATTAAATGTTGATTTGTTGGCACACAACTTACAACTGACCGAGAAAACCGCTCCCATAACTTTCCCCTTGGATTGACCTCCAATCCTCATGGGATCGATTCCAACCAAACTCACAACAAGTCACGCGCTATCCCTAAATTTATGTTCTCCCTCCGATGATTAAAATACCCCCAGCGAAAGCTACCCCAACAAAACCCATGATTTCTTCAAAACTGAACTATCGTGCCATTGTTGACCGCAATGTTCTCTCCGGGGTGTCAAAGATTCCGAATTCCATTTCCATGCCGGGAATCGCTCTCCGGGGATAAATCTTCACAAACCGATCGGGCTTCCGTTCCCGGCCGGCCCCGCATCGTCCGCTAATTGATATTCCGCCAGTGAAGGGCCATAAATTTTCCGCTTTTCCGAGTCTTCGGAGGGCATGGATAGTCTCGCTCCCGGCTTGGTCCGGCTTGGCACGCATGAATTCGCTTTTCTTGCCCCGAACCGGAGGAAAGCGCCGACTTTTTCCTTCTCCATCCAACAGAAGCAATTTGTAGATAATGTACCATTTTGTATGCAAAACTAATACTGCCGGCTTCCGTGCCGAGATCGGGTAGGTTCCCGTTTTTTTTTGTGCTTTCCACGAGGCACACCCTGATATCTTAAAATTTTGCCCGGTTTTATGTCGTGCAGTGCGTGAGGTAATAAAAAGCACTTCTTCACACGGGGGCTTGTGGTGTTCTTCGACGAGAAATAAGACGGTCCCTGGCTTTGTGCTGACGTTTTTTTTTTATCTGGAAATACTTCTTGGGAAAATTTGCGCTGTGTCTTCGTTTTCATTTTTCCTCCTTATTGAGGGGGGTGGCGTAAGTTTTACGAGGGTGCACATTTGCAGCTGCCGCTATTGTATGCCGGTGGTGGCGAGGGAGGAGGGTACACGTTGCGGTCTGATGGAAGACGTTCGTGAATTTCAAACTTGTTATGGCGGTGTTGTCTTCTGGTGGTTTCTTCGGGTGGATTGGGCATGATTTGGTTTGCTGTATGTGTGAGTACAAATTCAATCGAACATGCCGTGCAATTCAAATTAGGTAGCAAGCGTAGTACCAGCAGTGTGTTGAGGGTGTTGCTCCCTTAGAATGATAGAAAGGCTCGTCGTAATATTTTTTTTTTTTAATAGTGCAATGTTGAATGCTTGACTTACAGAAAACAGAAGGAGAAGTGCAAACAAATCGGTTAATCAAAAAGGGGTGCGTTTTTCTGCTCAATATACGATGTATGCTGCCCTATTTTAACTGCAGGCAAGAAGATGCCTTCTATCGCTAGGTGCGCTAGTGTTCGCCAATGAAAATTGGAGCCACTTTCTGATCCAAAGTTCCACTTCTGTGCTATGCTGGCATTTTTATTTTGTTTCAAAAGATTTTGCAAAGTGTTGCACTGATTGCAAAAGTTCAACATGAAGTGAGAAGCTATATCAATCGATACACTGTCTTCCTTGCAGAATATAATTCTAGATGAACATTATAGAAGGTCCTATCAGCTTTGTTCGATTTTTCAAAGTTACAGCATTGGTTGCAGATGGTTACATTTCTCCAGTTCGGACGAAATCTCGAACCTTCCTCTTGATGGAACCCATCAGCGCCCACACAGGGGAAACGGACACGGTATCAGTGCATTTATTCCATTTTACCCGCATTTGCTGGATGTCCTTGACTGCCCCGTCGCTTCGTCGAAGTCGCTGATTTGAAATTGCCCAGTATTTTTTGATTGGTCGACATTCCGGGCAATTCGGAGGATTCATAAGCTTGGGGACAAAATCGATCTTGTTGGCAGCATACCACTCCAGAATTACCTTGAAGTAGAGGCAGCTGGCCAAATCAGGCCTAAAGATGACTTTGCCCCTATGCTTGCGGATGAACGGCAATACACGCTTTTTCAGGCATTCTTCGATGTAAACTTGGGATGTCATCGTCGAGGATGTGACAAATGGTTCCGTTTATCTCTGAAGCTACTGTAGATGGCATTCTTAGTAGGACACTCGTCGCAAAACAGTCGTGGTTACTTCTATGTAATTTATTTCAGCTGCAATCACGTTACTGCAAAATATGGTCGAGATTTCGAGAACACGATGATATTGACAAAACAAAATTACACATTTCGTTACCAGGTGAATGTTTATCACTGACAAAAAATGAATGAGATTTTGAAAAATATTTATATGAGAGTCAATTCTTTCAGTGGCAATAACAACAATATTTTTTTCAAAATCGCGTGAAATCTTTTTATGACAATGACAAAACTCAGCACTACACCCAGATTGATTCCTTTGCTAGCAGCTGAGGGTCAGAATAGTCAATGTATTAGACGAGTTGATGCAACAAAAGCTTCACCAGGACTTTGAAGATGGCTCAAAGGACGGTGATTGTTCCAAAATCCATTGGATGTGTGGGGTTCACTACTTTCGGATTTGAAGTGATTACGATCACCTTTCTTCCAAAAGGCAGGAAACGAGTTGGCTAGCTTTATACCAAAGATGACGTAAAGCAAAGAGACAAACGACACTTACGACCCGCAGGAAACATGAATAGAGCTGCCGTCAGGGAAAATCCAACTATTACACTGTTAATATTATGCCTGTAAAATGTAAAACTGAATGTCAAAATCATTTGACAGTTCGGTCACACACTGCCTCCTTCAAGCATGTGGAAAAGTTCCATCACGAATAAGGCGAATAAGATCAGTCTTAAGTTGGCCCAATGCAATCACAGCCCCCAATAGACCACGGCGGCGATGACCGCAATGTCCTTTATATAAGGTCCAGGCCAACAGGCTTAATGGTGTTCGTGAAATTTGCAAATGTTTATAGTAGTATTGCAATGAAAATTCTACACAGGTGTGCACTTTAGATAGTATTTTATGGCAGCGGCTTGAGGAGCGAATCCTGAATAAAGAGCCGCCGTGCATTAAATCAAGGGGCGCAGTCGTACGGCCTATAAACAAAGAAAAAATGGCATCACCCCCAGTTTGAGAAAGTATCTTGCCAAACACAATATAAAAATATCGTCGAATGAAAGTAGCAACAAGCGGGATTTCCCAATCTCTCAACAAACGATCTTAATCTTCGAATAAATCTTCCAGCCAGCGAGAACGTTGCTCTTAAAATAATATCCCTATCCTTACCCGGATAATTTTAAAACGGAATCAGCATCCTAAAATTTACAAAATATGTTATTTTCAGCCAGATTCTGAAGCATATTGTATTGTATGTAAATCGATTTCCGACGCCATTTTGGTGTCCAAGGCGGCTTCCTATTTCAGAAAAAGTGGAAAAGACTTACAAATACCCATCAATACGGGAATTGGAATCCAAGATGGCGGCCATCGTGTATCAGAAAACTGTCAAATACCCTACAACATGGGTATTTTCAAAATGGGGACGCACGGCCGTTTGTAAGATATTTGACATTTCTTCTCAAATCAGAAGCTGCCATCTTGCATTTCAAGGTGGCGTCGAATATCGGTATCCGGTGTCTAGACGTCTCCCCGATTGAAAAAAGTACCCACATTGAAGGGTATTATACATGTTTACACTTTTTCTGTACTAAACCCGCTATCTTAAATTTAAAATAGCGTCGGACATCGGTTTCTGGCCTCTAGACGTCACTGGGATTTCAGAAATACCCATAGCGATGGATATTTGACAGTATTCCCACTTTTTCTGACGCCAGAAGTGGCCGTCTTGGATTTCATCTCTGCTTAATAACCTTTGCTCAATCCTTATCAACTGTGAACGTGAACGGAACCTATTGCTGCCTAGCTACCTTACGGTGAATTCTTGTCTGGCTTGATATGGTGGAAAAACTCGATCTGCCTGGCCAAATACTCTAAATCCAGCAAATTACGTACTCTGCACGTATTACAATACTTGTCGAAGCAATCCCGTTCCAATGGCTTGATAAACTGCAACTGGATGAAACTGCGAACCGAGCTCTGAATTACCACTGTGCCGTTCTACTGACGGTGGACATCCATCCGGTCCCGTTTCTGTGATTTTGCTGCGGCGTGTTCTTCGGTTTCTCGTTGGCTAAGTCCATAGCGGCCCAGGTGTAGAATTTATTGTTCGTCTCCATCTGTTTATGAACAGCGCTGACGATATCGAGTGATTGGTAGCGATCTTGTGAACTTGATCACCTCTCATGACGATGCTATACTATACTACAACGAAGATAATCTGTCAGCTTGATTTGTTCTTCGTCTTCCTGACCGGTTTTCACTTTGATTTCGTCCGGTTGATCATTGATGGGTTTGAAGTCCGGACGAGGATCGCACTCACCGGAAACATTGGTAGCGGTTACTTCAACGTCTTCCTCCTCTACGGCTTCGGAAATGACGGCCGCTGCTCTGGCTGAATATTCCGCGGGGGTAATGGCGGGTAGCGTTGCCGTCGCACCTGGAATTTGGTGTTAATCGGTTGTTGCCCCACCGGGCAGATGTTTTCCAAATCAGAAACTCTAGCGGCGGATTTCACTGGATGTGCTGTGATGGAATCTTCACGCAATAGCTAACTTACATGGTGCTAACGATAAGGGGATCGGAGTTAGTTATTACCATTTTCATTGGTAATTCGTGCTAATGCTGTTACGACTACTGGATCATTCGTGCTAATGGGATCGTTGCATTATAGGTTGAATTCCAGATGTTTAGAAGAAGTTTGATCTGCGATGATCCTTTGAAGTGACAATTGGGACTGGCTGCTGAGGAGGAAGAACAACTGCTGAAAGCTGGCTAGAGCTGTAAGTGCTTGCTGGTAGTAAGTAGGCACCGGCACAGGTTCTTCCATAATATTTAAGCTATTCGAAAGCCTCTGGATATCTTTGGACTTGCTTTGTTTACAAACAAAACGGACGTTAAATATGAGAAGCATATTCCTAAAGGTAGTAAGCGGAGTAAGCAGAGAAAATATCTACACGGCGATTGAGAACGACCTAACGGCGCCGGTGGTGTAGTGGTAAGCGTGATTACCTCTCACCCCAGCAGGCCTGGGTTCAATCCCAGTCGGCGCCGCCGGGATGTTCTGAGGCATAACATCTCTGATCACGCCTTCCTTCGGATGGGAAGTAAAGCCGTTGGTCCCCGGTTCATGAGTTGATGGGTCGATAGGTAGGGTCTAGGTGTGGGAGCTGCCTTCCTGGCACGTCGGTAGCATTGGTGCTCAGCACGGAAAACAAGATCGACGGATAAAAACAAACCGAAGGAAAAAAAAAAAGAAAAAAAGAACGACCTAAATTTGAGTTTAGTTCACTCATAATCGCCAAAAGTGCAGGAACTCAGCGATGAGTAAAATTTGTCTCATGTTTTCCCAGGATTTTTTAGGGAAAAATTTCCGAATTTGAGAAAAGTAAAGATTGCATTAACTCAGTCTATTGGTACTACTCCGAGACTGAATAAAATTTTCGTCAATTTCCTCATTTTCCGGCAGATTTTTTAGGTTTTCCACAGAAAACCATTAGACAAATTTACTCATCACTGAGTTCCTGCACTTTTGGCGATTATGAGTGAACTAAACTCCAATTTGGGTCGTTCTCATTCCATGAAATTTGAGGTACATTGAGTTACTCGAGTAACTCGCTGAAACTCAATACAAAAAACCGGTGCGTTGAAGTTAAAATGCAATCAAAAGTACTTAAAGTTATTAATGCGTTTTGAAGTAGTACTGACGGTAATTAAAATTATCTATCCATAATTAATGTAATTAAAAGTATTGAAAATGTAATTAATGTACTTTAATTGCGAAATTTCAACTGTAATTAATTGAGTTAATAAGTAGTTAATGTTCTGCATTGTGTAATTCATGCAATTTAAGCATTAGTTAATGGAATTAATTTAATAACAGCCGTTGCCTGCGTTGGAGTTAAAGGTTATTGCGTGCTCCTAGACAAAAAAGCAACTCAGAGTAAACCTGTCTCACGCCTTGATCGGATATTAATTCCTGGTCTCTATACATTACCCCGAATCCAAAAATACCCATATTGTTTGGTATTTGACAGCCATTCCCACTTTTTATGAAACCGGAAGTCGCCATCTTGGATTTATAAATGGCGTCGGATATCAATTTCCGAACTGCAGACGTCACGCTGGTTCCAAAAATAATTATATTTATTTCTCACTATTTATGCAACCAGAAGTCGCCATCTTGGATTTAAAAATTGCGTCGGATTTCAATTGCCAACCTCTAGATGTCACCCCGATTTCAAAAATACTCATGTTGATGGGTTTTTGACAGTATTTCACACTATTTACGAACACTATCTTGGATTTTAAAATGGCGGCTATCTTGGATTTTAAAATGGCGTCGTTCATTTATTTCTGGGCTCTAGACGTCATCGCGAATCCAAAAAATACCAATATTGTGAGGTATTCGACATTTTTTTCTGAAACCCGATGTCCGCTATCTTGGATTAAAAAATAGCGTCTGATATAGATTTTCAGCATCTACGCTTCATCCCCGTCCCATAAATACCCATATTGTTAAGAATTTGACGCTTTTCTTAAATCGGAAAACGCCATCTAGGATTTCAAAATGGCGTAGGATATCAATTTCCGGCATCTAGACATCACAGCGATTCCAAAAATACCTATATTAATGGGTGTTTAACGGTATTTCCCATATTTTATGTAACCGAAAGTCACCATCTTTGATTTTGAAATGGTGCCTCTAGACATTACCCCGATTCAAAAGAATAACCATATTGATGGGCATTTGACAGTATTCATGAAACCAGAAGTCCCTATCTTGGATTTCAAAATGGCGTCAGCTATCAATTTCCGGCCTCTTGATATCACTCTGATTCCAAAAATAACCATATTTATTGGTATTTTACAGTATTTCTCACGATTTATGCAACCGGAAGTCGCCAGTTTGGATTTAAAACTGGCGTCGGATTTCAATTGACAGCCTCTAGACGTCATCCCGATGTCGAAAATATTCATGTTGATGGGTATTTGACAGTATTTCACACTGTTTATAAAAGCGGAAGCCGCTATCTTGGATTTCAAAATGGCGTCGGTCATCGATTTCTGTGCTCTAGACGTCATCCTGATTAACTGAAACTCTGATGTCCGCTATCTTGGATTCCAAAATTACGTTAGATATCGATATTCAGCATCTGCGCTTCGTCCTCGTTCCGAAACAAAAAACCCATATTGTTAAGTATTTGAAGCTTTTCTGAAATCGGAAGCCACCATCTTGGATTTCAAAATGGCGTCGGATATCGATTTCCAGCCTCTTGACATCACACCGAATAAAAAAATACCCATATTGATGGGTATTTGACAGTATAATCTAATCAAATACAAACGTAGCCAGTACGAGAAAGCAACCTGGAAAATGATTAGGTTATAATAACGCCTAATCATTTTTCTTGTCAACATTGATGTTTGTAGCATATCTGAGATAGAGGAAATGTATGTGCTGTCAACCTACATGCCCCTAATTTGGGCCCATACATGAATTCAGCAATCGACTAAATTTTTAATAGCGACCAAAAATATCGATTAGTACCGTCCCAATGACGCGTTCATCTAGATAAAATTGATAAATAGCTGATTTTTAGCGATGGACCCAATCTTAGATCTGCGTTGCATTTGCCGCAAAGATGATTCTGTGAAATGATTCGAGTTTAAATAAATATATTTAATCAGCGATGCATTTCGGGAATCTACAGGCGTGGAAGGATCCGTGGAGTACATTCCGTACCAAACGCTCCGAGTTATTTAAGAGTGAAATTTAACAATCATATTTGATGTAACGAATGGTTTATATAATATAGTATAATTTAAGGATCTCACCAAATGCCTCCAACGTTCCCAAAATTCCTAATTTATTAGATAAAAATGGAATGATCTCACCAAAACTGGTCTGCGTGACTGCGATCATTAACTTTTCCGGACTTTAACCTTTAGCTTTTGTTTGTTGACCTCCGCCAAACGCCTTCGTCTTCATCACACAGCTCGCAACGAACGCCGCCGTTTACTTCGTTCTCTTCTGTTTTCTCCTTACCTTATTGTATTCCCATGATCTTCTGCGAGGAAACTCGCGTCCAATGTTACTCTTCGTTAGCTCCACCGAGCACTTGCAATGTGCACTCCCTGCATTATTGAATCAATGTTAAAATTAGTATGCGATGGTGTTATATAGAAACTGCAAAAAGAAAGAAATACAGAAATTCTGAAATATGACCAGGATTAGTTTCAAGAAGAGTTGGTGATCAAGCGTCGTCAAAAAAGATACGCGGATTAAGAGTGAATTCCAAAGCCGGAGATAGCTCTGTAGCTTTGAAACGTTCTGTTGCAGAGTTTCTCGGGTCAGTTGATCTCTGGCACGTTCATCGTTTTTCGGACGGATCGCGGTCGCGGGCTGGACTTTGACTCGGAGTGGCAAGACCGAACACTACAACGAGTCAAAGTCTACCGGAGGAGTGTTCCGTCTTTTCCGCTGAAGCCTAGTCTATTCTAGACGCAGCCATCACTCCGGCAGATCAACCGATCCTCACACAGCGTCATCAAAGCGCTGAAAGCCGAAGCCTCGAGCCACCCCTGGATACAAGCCATTAAACGGTACGCCCCACCTTCAACCGTCTTTACGTGGATCCCCGGACACTGCGGTGATCCCGGAAACGAGGCTGCGGACAGACTGGTGGGATCTGGTGCATCCCGTCCCCGCTACACCAAGAACGTACCCCTCCTAGACGTCAAGCTCTAAATCATGGTCTACAGAACCCTTATAAAACCAAAATTGTTACTTGGGCTGTCTCCTACGGTGGAGCTCTACCTTGTTCGCACACCCAGTCTTCACCACGGCCCCGATGTCTCATTCGTTGGGAAATCAGAGCCAGTTATACATCACGTTAATGTCAAATTGAAGCCTATGTTTTTAGGCAGGATCTAGCCTGACCATCTGCTATATAACGTGATGAACTAGCCAACGGCTAAAAATCACGGTAATAAAGAAAAAAAACTTTCTCATACTCGCAATGTGTCACGACCAATTTGACACGGCGACGCCCTTACGCTCTCTGATAAAAGCACAGGGTGATGGGCATTTGACAGTATAACCACTTGCTCTTACACTGGAAGTACCCCAATTCCAAAAATACCCATATAGACTATTAATACTCAGAGGGAGAGATAGGCGGAGAAAACAAAATACAATTCGGCAGCAGGGCTTTGTTCCTAAATTATCTTGCAACCCTTGCTAGAAGCTAACGTTTCACATGACTTGTATTTTTGATTCGATTTAGGTACAAAATAATAATTGATTGGATCGCAATATTTTGCACATTTCTTGGTGCCATTCGTTAACCGGCGAAGATCAATTAATCAATAGAGTTAGAATATTGTTTTTGATTCCAAAAACTAGTTGAATTTGAGAAGCACACAAAACATAAAGGTGATTGAATTTCTGTTCGATTGCAATACTCTCAAATTTATTCTAGTAAGAATAAGAAAAATTCTAATTGGAATGTTCGATTGGCTCAGATTATGACAGTTCATTTGGCTCAAAACATTCTCTCCGCC